GATGGACAGCTCGCCTTCAGTGGAATTATGTACAGATCTGGGAGAGGAAGGCAGTGGGGGAAGAGTGAGAGACAGATTACTTCCTAATTTCCATCTATGCAATCTGTCTTTAATTTGTCTTACTGTTTCACAGGTGGTGGATTTATGGGCCATTTCAGGTTAATAGAGTTTTCAAGTTAACTGAAGTAGCCCTATCTAAAGTTTGGAAGAGTCAGCTAAAAAGAGGAAATGAGTAATGGTTATCAAGATAGAAACTGCATATCCCTGCTTCAGTGGTTGCACAGCAGAGGATTTACCTCATATAAACTTGAGCAAAGGGCTGTGCATCCCAACATGGTGCCTGCTGCAAAAATGAAATACCAAAATGCCTACATGTGAAGATGGCTGCATCTCACACAGGATTCTTTACAGCCCCCACAGTGAGCCAGACTTTTCCATGTGCACAGAATGGAATGGATAGCAGCCCAAGGAAATGGCACACCACAGCCTAGTCCCCATTTCTACGGCCTTCCATTTCTGAAAAGACATGCATATCTAAAATAAACCCAGAGAAGAAACTTAAGATAGTCTCAGCAGCCACCTGTTGTAACTGTTCCTTTTATTAATTAAAACAAGGCCATGTCCTCTACTTGAGGCTTTACTTCCTTACTCATCCTGGGAAAAGAGGCCACAGCTCATGGACAGCTGAGGAAAGCACAGAACAAGGCATCAGAGGCTGGCAGAACCATCACTGTGGACCACTAGGCCTGCTGTAAGATTTGCCAGCAGCTTAGTCCTCCAAGAATAAAGGCTTACCCCCCGAAAGGTGCTGCCCTCAATTTCCTGTCTCCTCTGAGCAGTGACCTCAGGAGTCAATACTAGAGTACAGCATTTCTTCCCTACCCAGCAAGTTTCTACCCTACCTTCCTCCCTCTTACAATTTCAGGACTGTAAGTGGCCTCATCCAGGTTTCCTAAGTCCCTTTTTCCCCTCCCCTTGCCACAGCCCTCATGTCTTTGATGGCCTACAAACTCACACAACATCCCAGGGATTTCAAACTGGACCTACCTTTTTCATGCAGACAGTATCATACTGAGCGTGCTGTTTTCTCTTGGATCCTGTCTTTCTTACTTACAGTTTCTTTTACATGCCTAATGACCAGCACTGCCAGTCACATCCTTACAAGTGAACATTAAAGGCTCTGAGTAGGAGTGCTACATCTTCACTCTTGTAGGATAATGGACCTGGCTTTTCTTGGAGAAAGAAGTCTTTTCTCCCCAGGGTCTTTTTCTTTTGCAGTGTCTTTTCTCTTCTGCTGGTCAGACACTTGAAGGAAGGCACCTTATTCTCTCTGCCAGGCTAGCAGCCACACAGTGAGGGGTGGCCAAGGGGGTCATAACCTTTGTTTCCCTTCTCAGCCCCAAAGTATGATGTATGTCCTACACTGACTCTGGCCTATTCCTTCTTAAGCAGTAGTTCTCAACCCGAGGGTCACAACCCCTTTGGGGGTTGTTTATCAGATATTTATGTTATGACTCCTAACAGTAGCAAAATTACAGTTATGAAGTACCAACAAAATAATTTTGTTTGGGAGGTCACCACATGAGGAACTATATCAAAGGGTTCCACCATTAGGAAGGGTGAGAACCACGGTTCTAAAGGATCAACCCTGGGCAGAGCAATGCTTTCATTGTTTGCTAAGGTGAAGACGGTGGTTACCCAACTGTGTAAGGCAGAGGAGGGAGCAGGGACTGTGGGCACATCCTTAGTAGGCTTCTCCCTGTTCTTAGACCACCTTCTTCCATACTGCTTGCAGAGGTTTCTATCACTGTCAGGCCCTGAGGTGTGGAGAAGGCATGGTCAAGGCTGATGCTTTAGGGTCAGTAGGTAAGTTAGCCCTTGCTAGCTGTTTTCTGGCAATCATTTGCTTGTTCTTATATGGGAAATAAAAAAAATCCCTTGCACGTCCTTTAGACAAGCCATGTGATCAACCTGCCGTCTTTCACAGGTCTGCACTTTAGAGATTCTCCCAGTTCTATGAGAAGTCAGCTACTGGCCCAAGCCTAAGTCACACAGCTGTAGTTAGAACCTAATGTTCCTAGCTGGCTGGAAGTAGATACAGAGACCAGGTTAGCCTCAAACTCAGAGATTCGCCTCAGTGGCCTAAGTGTTGGGGCTAAAGGTATGTACCACCATTGAAATCTACTACTGATGTATCAAGACAGAAAATTACTGCCCAGGAAAACTAAATATTTACAAAGATGATAAACCAAGCTTCAGCAGAGACTTGAACTCAGACATTTTGACTTCACAACGTGTTCTTGGTAAATTCACTTACTGTCACTGAGGCTGGCCTAACCCAACTGCTCTCCTGGCTTAGGAGCATCCTTCCTGAGGTATGGGTGAATGTGTATCCATTTGTGTTTTAATTTTCCATGTTTTAAATGTTTGCATGTATATCTGGTTACTCTGGATAACCCAATACTCCAGCACTGCCCTGAGATGGTGAGGTTTTTATTTTCCTCACTTCCATCTCATAATGTATTTGCCAACAGCTAACACAGAGGGGACAGCCTGCCTTACCCTATATTCAGGAGGTTCATGTTGTCTGAAGCCAAGAGCAGTTAACGTGAGAACCAGAGCTTTGCAGTCATTTGAAAAGTGGCAGATGATCGCTGTGCTATCCTAGTTAACTTATGTCAACTGAACACAGCTTGAGTGAGTCGAGAGGAAGGAGACTCAATTGAGAAAATGCTTCCACAAGGGCGAGCTGTGGGCAAGCCCGTAGAGCATTTCCTTACTTGATGTGGGAGGGCCCAGCCCACTGTGGGTCAGTCACCCTGGGCTCTAGTTGAGAAAGCCTACAGAAGCTGGGCAGCGGTGGCTCATGGCATTAATCCTAGTATGTAAGGATAGAGGCAAGCAGATTTCTGAATTTGAGGCCAACCTGGTCTACAGATAGTTCCAGAACAGCCAGGAATACAAGGAGAAACAAAAACAATAAAAAAAGAGAGAAAGCGCACTGAGCAAGGCATGTAAGAATGTCACTCCTCCATGGCCTCTACTCAGCCCCTGCCTGAAGGTTCCTGCTCTGACTTTCTCCAATGAGAACAACTGATACAGAAGTGTAAGTCAAATAAACCCTTTCTTGCCCAATTTGCTTTTGGTCAGTGTTTCAGCACAGCAATAGTAGCCCTAACTAAAACAAGAGCCAAACCACCAGAACAAGAAACCCAGGCTGCCTCAACACTAACAAAAGGGCATGCCACTGTTCATAAATATGACTGGAATTGTAATCTCGTCTTAATTTGCTTTTAGTATTCAATGGTTTAGAAGAAATTCAGGGGTTTGTACCTAGTGTCCTGTGGCTATACAGTCATGTATAGTCAATGCCAGATCATATATTCAGTGACGATCTAATGCTTATAATGTACAACTTTCCTTTGCCTAATGACATAGTAGCTGTGGTAATGTTGTAGGAGAATGTACCACTCACACTAGTGTGAAAAATCAATTATACTGCCTGATGGATAAAAGTATAACCTAGACAATTATAGGTAGTTCTTAAAGCTTAATAATGATAATAATGATGTCACTAGTTTATGGACTTACTATACTCAACATTTTACTGTGAGAGTCACAGTTGCTAGGTGTAGTGGTACACACCTGGAGCCCCAGCACTCAGAAGCTGAGATAGCAGAACCAAAAGTCCAAAGGCAAAGCCCTGTCTCAAACAAATAAATATATGAATAAAATTTGCCCTTTTAATAGAATGTCCTAGTACACCAGCAGCAACTTACATACATCCATGTTACTCTTTGTTATGTATAAGTGGTACGTCTTGCATATGTGTGGGGTGTTATACAGGTCTCTGAAGGCCTGAGTATACAGGTGGGCATGCACGGGTTGGGTGTCTTTCTTTGTAGCGCTTCACCTTGTTGCCTTGAGACAGGGTCTCATATTAAATAGGAAGTTCACAGTGTCAGCCAGGCTAGCTGGCCAGAGCTCTGGAGATCTGTTTGTAGCCCTGATATGCTGGGGCTACAGGCATGAGCAGCCATGACTGGCTTTTTATGTAAATGATGAGGATTCAAAGTCAGGTCCTTGTGCTTGTACCTGCCAAGCTGTCCATCTCCTAATGTTGCTAAGAATCCTGACTGCACCAAAAGGCACCAGGCAGGAACTGTTCTGCACCACCTAAGTGTATCAAAGCACACTTGAGAATGCTTGCATAAAACAGCGTACCCCTTGGAAATGACCTAAGTGTATATGGAAGGAACAGCAAAAACACAGGCCATCATGGAGACTGGAGACTTTGGGCCTAAGCGATGACACATCCTTGGAGATTCTATTAGAATAAAGTTAATAGTGGGACACAATCATTTGGAGCAACTTCTGTGTCTTTGTTTCAAATGTTTTCTAGCACCACTTCTCCCCTCTCCACTTTTAAAAAATGTTTTTATTATGTTTTTTTTTTCTTTGCTTCTAACCGTTAAGCCCTGTAGGGGTAAACGGCTGGTCCTTTACTGTGTACAATCCTAGTACTTAACAAAGCCACACTAGTAAGATGCTGCCTCGCTTTGAAATGGGAACTAAACTGTGTACAAGGTGAGAATCTCGAGTCAGAACATCTGAGGTCCACCAAAATTCGAAAACTTTTCAGGGCTCACATAATGCTACAAGTGGGAAATTCCATGTTAGGTTTCATATGAACAGTCAAAACGAAGGTGAATTAAAACTACTGTATAAAATGGCCTTCAGGCTATGTGTGTAAGGACTTGAGATCCATCCCCAAGTCCCTGCAGAATCTGGGACGGGACCAAGAACAGTGCACTGCAGAACCTATGCATTTGATCAGTATGAGGGCTTCGCCTGGGAGTCAAGTTTAACTCTCAAGGCGACTATGTGGGCCCTCTGGAAAAAAATGGGGCGTGGTCCAGAGCGCACAGGCTTTGGCAGCTCGGAACCACGGACACCAGAGGCCGCAAAAAGTGGTGTCTTGACCTTTCCTAGGCCCTTACCATTTGATGACATTGTGAACCAACGGCAAAAAAGAGTAATTCTCCTCCTTCGCACCAGCGGGGGACTGAGGCCGCGGAGCCGCCGGTGGCGGGAGCGCGGCGACCGGTAGAGGCTGAGACGGCGGCGGCGGCTTGGACTCCGGCAGCAGCTCGGGCGGTGGCTGTAGCGTATCTTCGGCCTGTCTCCCACCCGCCACCCCAGAGGAAGCCATAGCACCACGCGTCCGGCGGCTGCCGAGGGTCGCGGGATGCTTGCGTCACAACTGCGCGCCCGGGAGGCCGGGCGGGAAAAGGCTCTGAGTCTGCGCCCTGGGCGTAGGCGGGCAAGCGTTGCTAGGCGACAGGTGTCAGGGCAGCTAAATTGAGTAGCCAGGATTAGGGAATCTACTTCAGCGTCTTTTTCTAGTTCACATCACAGAGAGAGGTGAAAACGCCAACGAGGACCCCCGGGACTGGCAGGAAGAATGGATGACGCTGGTGATCTCCGTGTGAAACTGGGGCTCTGCGGCAGCGAGCATCCAGATGACAAGGACCTACACGTCTTTGTGTCACGCTAGCCTCCAGGAGGGCCCTGGACTGGCGACAGCGAAACACGACATACAAACGAGTTTCACATGGCTGCCACGGGAAAAACTAATCGTTCTTCAACCATTTAGTTTGCATCTAGGAGGTGCCAGACTACATATGTATCTAGGACTAAGACCTTGGGCCAAATAGGAGAGCTTTCTGATAGGCTTGAATTTATTCATTTCAAGCAAATGAGCTCTAGTATAAATTTCTGGACAAGGGTAGCAGTAATCCTAATCCTGACTAACAAAAACCAGGAATTAGGGAAGCTGTCAACTGGGAGAGGACATCTGTCCTTGATGACAAGGTCCATGTCTGTAAAGAGAGGCAAGGAGTCCACAGCTCAGAAGCAAAGAGGAACAGGAATGTGGAACTTCACAATGGTGTTTTGAGGTTTTTAGTTACAGGTCTGGGAATTATTTTCTTCAGAACTGCAGATAGTTCTCCAAACAGAGGCACTATCCAGAAAAGAATAATTTCAGTGTTGCTCAAAGGAAGACAGAAACAAAGTGAAACAAGGTGATTTATTTCTTCTTGAAAATGAGTGTACCAGAACCAAGCTAAGATAGCAAAAACACTCAACAAAATGCCCACTGTCGTGCATCTCTGACGTAGGTGCACTACAACTTCACAACATGACTCGCTGGGCTAATCATCTAAAGGAAAGGAGGGGTGGGAGTCGGGAAATATAGGCCCTTGTGGAACCATGTATCTCTGATAGAAGAATGTTTTTTATCATGGGAAACTGTAGGGTTTCCTTCTAACCCAGGGCCTCTCCACCTAAGGGGAAAGGCCATGATTCCTGAGGGAGAATGGAGAAGACAATGGCCTAAAATGGAAACAGGTGTGCCAGAAAAGATTAGACACCTCTGGAAACATCTGGGGAAATGCATGGTAAAACAGCAGCATACAGTAGCTATCACTACTACTGCTGTGGAATGAAAGTGACGAGAAATCATTAAGACCCACATTTAATCCACCAAGAAATTCTGGAAGGTATATCTTAGTTTTCAATTTTACAGAGAAGGAAACTAAAGTTTACAGGGCCATAAGGTCACAGAGCTTCCTTGATACCAAGTCTAAATCTAAAATCTACAGGTAGGTGATAACAGGCTCCTCTCTGATCTGTAACTTTTGATTCAAAATGTTAATGTGAGGTTTTATTCAGAATTCAAATAGCATCTAGTAGCCATTGATAATATCCTCATAGCAACCAAACATCATCTTTTCCCCCTTAATGTGTTTTATAACTCAATTACAAGCCCCATATCTATCTTTGGCAGAATGAGGGCATCTCTTTAAAAAGCTCTTGAGATATAAATAGATACGGCTAAACAAAACAAATTGGTAATGTAGGAAGCATGAATAAGTATGGTGCGTTGACAGTTTGCCCTAAAAATAGTTAATATAATTAGTGACAAAGAATAGAGCTGACTTCACAACACTGCAAACAGATGTCAGAAAAACGCTCCCTATTCTGGCTTCCTTAAAGCTGATTATTGCAAATAAGTGTATGTTTGTACAGCCATGCTGATCAAAGTCAGAAAAGGAAGGTGCCACTGAGATATAGGGAGACTCATCCAGAGTCAGAGCCAGAGGATCCATCCAGGTAAGCTGCCACTGTACTGTCTTGGGCAGGTTTCCATGGCTTCTCAGGGTACCTTGTCCCATCAGATCTGTGGATGAGAGGTCAGGCTTGGGGCAGCCTGCTTGCCTTCAAGCTAGGCTCCGCTATTGGGAAGGATATGACTTTAAACCATTGCTTAACTTTACTTTGAATACCTCCATAGCAAAATAGAAAATCTGAACAGGTTTTGTTTTTTTTTACATTTTTCTAGAGTGAGAATGTGTCCCCAAAGTTCATATTTAAGAAACAAAACTCCAGGGTCAAGGGGTGGCCCCTTTATGAGTTGAATAACACAAATGGATTCATGTTCCTTTAGGAGTGAATTTCTATGAAGAGAACAGGTCTGCTGTAGAAGCAAGGCCTTCCTTCTCTTGCTGTCTAGTTATACAACACCTCCGTCATATTATGACAGGAACATGAGCCCCTTGCCAAACATGGCCCCTTGACCACCACCTCCTCAGCCTCTGCAACTGTGTATGTAAATAATCTCTGTTCATTATCAATCATCCAATCTGTGGTCTCCTGATAGAATACAAACATACTAAGAAGCCTATACAATACTTGGGATGATTATCTGTGTGAAATAATAGGAAAGACATTCTTATTTGGATGTGAGAAACCTAGGCTGACAGCAGATTAAAATGTGCTCCGGGGTTCCGAAATTAAGGGCGCTGGCTGCTCTTCCAGATGATGGTGGTTTGCATCCCAGCACCCAGGCAGGCAGCTCGCAACTGTGCGAAACTCCAATCTGAGAGATATGATGCTCTCTTCTGGCATCCATGGTCACTGGGCATGCAGATGATGCACAGGCACAAAGCAGGCAAAACGCCCATACACCATACGTAAAATAAATTTCAAGTAAAATTTTTAAAAAGTTAATGCTTCTGAAACATCGTCTTTATTATTCAACTAGGATTTCATTTTAAAAAGAGAAAAATGGTCTCCATTTGCACTCTCCTGTAGAAACACAACATGCACCGTAGATGTGAGGTATGGGTCCTTTCAGGTTTTTTAGTAGTCAAATCAAAAACAAAAACAAGTGAAGTTATTGTTTAAGCCAGTTTAAAATTATTACCAACAAAAAAGAATGTTAAAAACCATTAGTGAGGTACTCTGAAGGCCATTTTCTTTTCTCCCTCTCTGTTCCTTATAATCACCTCTCCTTACCAAAGAGATGTCACATCCAGACTTCTTCCAGAAACACTCCTGTGGGAGCCTATCAGCACAGAAATCAGACTCTATTCCTTTTAGACTAAAACAAAATCCTTTTATCCATTGTTCTCCTTTTTGCTTTTCTCCAACCCGTGTCCCTATAAATCACCAGCCTTTGGTAGAACGCAAGCAAGGCAGACCCTTCCAGGAACCACCTGTCTGAGTGGTCCATCCCTGTTCCCAGGCTGCACTCCTGAACTTTTACCGAGACATTTTCATGCAAATTATTGGTCAGGCAAACCTTTTATTCTGTCTGCCAGCCATTCGAAAGCTTCAGCCTTCATTCCTTCTATTAACCCCCCCTTTAAAAAAAAATCCTCGTTTGTCTTCTTGTTTCTTCTCACTTGTCAGACAACCCCTTCTAAAAATTATTTTCCCATTGGACTCACCGTAAATCTTTCCCCTTGATATTAACTCCAGTTGTAAAATGATAGTAAAGAAATGATAGACCAATTGCTTCATTAAACAAATTTATTATAATCCTTTATAACATTAATTCTATTACTTGGAGTTTCTTCTACATCAAGACCATGAAGGAGAAAGGAAGGGGAAGAGAGAAAAGGAGGGAAGGAAAGAGGACGGGAGAAAGGCAAGCAAGAAGGGAGGGCACCACTCTCTCCATGCTCTGTGTGACATTCAGGATGCCTGTTCCTTCCCTTGCACACCAAGAGTAAAACAAAGTGACCTGTGGAGAGAGGGCAGGGGCATCCTGTCCTCTATAAGGCACAGTGGTATACACTAGCTGAGAGTGGGCTGGAGGGGGTGGTTACACAAAATAGAATTTAGCTAAGGGACTGCTGCCTTCAATGTACCCCAAAGATAAGAATTATGTTCTTGAGGACTGTTTAAGGATGCTAGGATGTAAATGTTTATTCTCCAGGACTGACCAGCCATTAGGCCCATACCTACATCAAAGAACATGCCTGAAACTAGGAGCTGTAGCAGAGGTGGGATGGGGTGGCACAGAGTGTCAACCATCATTAAGTCCTGGTCTGCCATCAAGTCTCCTGTGCTTTTATCAGGATATTCTTCCAGGTGGCCAATTTGATCCTGGGTAACAACAATTCAACTTAAGAAATAATTCTTGCAGTGTCTTTGCTGTGTAAGTCTCCAGTCTGCCCAAATGGCCTGATTTGTAGTCTCGTGTCTCTGTTTAAATAAGTATAAACTGGGGCCAGGGCTTGAAAGATATTTAAAGATAACAGCACATGTGGGATGCATGTGCCTAAAGTGTATATAAGTTAGTATATATTCCAGGCCAGCTCTTCCTTGGGTATCAGCCACAGCTGGCCCATGTGTGCTCTCTCTCTCTCTCTCTCTCTCTCTCTCTCTCTTTCAGTTGAGCTATTCCTTTATTATCTCTAAATGTACGGAATTATTTCTCAGTGGGAAGGTGTATTATTCCTATTACAGTCTCTCCCTCTTTTCCTCTTTCTCTCCCTCCCTCTTTTTCCCTCCTTACTTTCTTCCTCCCTTCTTTTTTGAGACAGGCTTGCTACAGAGCCCAGGGAAGCTTGAATCCTCATCCTCTTGCCTCAAGCCTCCTCTGGGCTGGGTTCCCAGGCCATGTGGCACCCTGCCCGAAGATCATGCTCTGTGCTTTGAGCTTTACACAGGCTTACTTCCTTCTCAGACAGCTCTGAACTGTCTACACTTCTCCTGGTCTCTCTCTCTCTCTCTCTCTCTCTCTCTCTCTCTCTCTCTCTCTCTCTCTCCCACTCAAATTACAGTTCTTTCTGACTTAGGACCCACAAGCCCTTTGTTCTCCAGTAAAGTTTGCTTGCCTTCATCCATGTGCCTCTTCTAGTCCTCGATAGATGAACTGCTGGCTCTGAGGTGCTGGGGCAGTGAATGGACAC